ACGATATTTTTTTCTTTTTCCATTAATTTTTAGACAGTGGAACGGAGGGGGAGAGACAAACAGAGAGAAAAACATTAATGTGAGAGAGGCACATTGATTGGTTGCCTCCCACATGTGCTCTGACCAGGGTTGGGGATGAAGCCTACAACCGAGGTATATGCCCTTGACTGGAATTGAACCTGGGACCCTTCAGTCCGCGGGCAGATGCTCTATCCACTGAGCCAAACCGGCTACGGCTCAATGATATTTTTTCAATCAGGAATTTCAGCCAGGGCAGTCACATTTGTATTTGAAGCCTGCCAACTCTGACCAGAAATCAGGTTCTCCGTGTAAGATACACCTTGACAAGTGGATTAGATGTTCTAATGAAAAGCAGATCAATGTCACTCATGTCACTATAAATAAATGTCTGGGTCTGCTTATCAGCTTGTAGGGTTGAGGTCTTACCTTTAACACTTCTTTACTCTTTATTATTCTTTAAACGAGGTCTTTTCCATCCTCGGTTTATGTCCCGAAAGGGAATTACTACCTTTTCAACTCTTTGAAACATGTTCCTCTGTCAACTTCCTATCTTTTGCTTTAGGAGACAATACAACCTGTGGCCTGAAACTGGAATCTGCCAGAATTTTCTCATATGTCATATTAGGGAATGAATTAGTAGGAGCCTTTCAGTAGCACTGGATCTAGGACTTCCTGCACCTGCTTTACAAACAAATCATGTTCTAGTGGCTTTGACTGTTTGGGGTTATATTTTAGAGCCTGGATTTGCCATCTAAATTCATATAATAACAAGCATGGATTTAGATTCGTGGTTTTGGGCAAATTCTTTTCTTTGAAACCTAAGTACATATAGCCAAAGCTTGCTAAAACATCAGTAGTGGCCTATCCACACTTATATACAGACAGCATTGTTTCCCAAAGTATCTGAAGGATATATGAAATATCTTGCCCTCCCCCTAAAAAAAAAAGGTTTTTATGGTTAGACAAATATAGAAATGAGGCATACAAAGAGGTTCTAATATGGCCACAGAAATGCTGCCTGTTTAGCTCAATTTAACCCAGAGCTCCCTAAGTTATTTGACTACAGATCTCCTTTCTTTCACACTCTGGGGTCCATTACTCATTGTTATGTCTTCTGTTAACTTGAGGTGTAACATAGACTGAGAAAGTTTGGAGTTAAATCTTTCTGAATACATTCAGCTCTATGTACATATTGAGGCCTTAAAATGCATCTTTCAGATACCTACATTTCTGTACAGTATTACCTTCTTCTATCTACATTTCTGAGCTGCATTCCTCCTTTTTCTTTTTTGTTAATCCTCACCCGAGGATATTTCCATTAATTTTTTAGAGAGAGCGGAAGGACGAGAGGAGGGGGGAAGGAGAGAAACATCAATATGAGAGAGACACACTGATTGGTTGCCTCCAAATGCACCCCAATTGGGCCAGGAACAGCCCTGCAAACCAGGTACTTGCCCTTGACCGGGGTTTGAACCCGCAACCCTTCAGTCTGCAGGCCAACACTCTAACCACTCAGCAAAACAGGCCAGGGCCTGAGCTGTATTCTTAAGTTCCTTGAGTATAAAATGGAATATAAACAAGCGTTTTATATATTTGCTCTCCAATGTCATGTTCATTTGTACCTGTGAATTACACTTGCTTATAATGATTGCAGATTGTTGTAGGTAGCAAGGAGCAATTGAGACAAAATCCTAGAAATTTAAAAATGCAGCTTTGGATGGGTTATAAGAGCAGGAACTTATAGACTTCATTTCTGTTTTTACGGTCTAAGACAGAGGTTTCAAATTTTTTGGTCTTAGGACTCCTTTATTCTCTTTTTTTAAAAAAATATATCATTATTGATTTCAGAGTGGAAGAGAGAGAGAAAAAGAGATAGAAACATCAATGATGAGAGAGAATCATTGATCAGCTGCCTCCTCCACACCCCACACTGGGGATCGAGCCCACAAGTCAGGCATGTGCCCTAACTGGGAATCGAACTGTGATGGAACCTCCTGGTTCATAGGTTGAGGCTCCACCACTGAGCCATGCCAGCTGGGCTGCACTCTTAAAAATTATTGAGTACCTCAAGGATCTTTTGTCTAGGTGGATATTATCAACATATTACCAGGTTAGAAGTCAAATATGAAAAAAATTTAAAAATACTCATTGGTTAATTCACTTGAAAACAGCAAGAAACCCATGTTAACATGCTTTTATGAAAATAACAATATTTTCCCAAACTTAAAAACAATTAATAAGAAGTTTGGCATTGTTCCACATTTTTAAAATTCAATATCTGGCTTAATCAAAGACAACTGGATTGCCACACCTGCTTCTGACATTCAATCTGTTGAGTTATCTATGTCACAGAGCCTCTGAAAATTTCCACAACACATTTGGGGAATGGGAGTGAAGAGGGTGGGTCACATCTTAATGCAGGTATTATTATGAAAGAAGTTTTGACCTCATGGACCCTCTGAAAGGGTCTCTGGACTATATTTTGAGAACTACCGCTTTAAGAATTCAATTCAATAAAAATATTTGAGAATATGGATTCCCACATGATAAACAAACATCCCTAGAGGGAGTGTTCCTTCCACTCTCATTTCCAATCAAATTTGACATTTTGAGACTCAGTGTTGTTGTTTCCTCCCTATTATCTCTGAAGACCCCATTAGATGACTAGATTTCTATCTTTTCTAAATGTCTGTAGCAATAATAATTTGTGCAGTTCATTTGGGATTATATCATACACTGTAGTAAGACTTTATTGCTAGAATTGTAACTTATTTTATTATTTCATATTTTGTGGTTGTATCTTGTCCTTGTTAAGGATGGTAGGCTCTTTGAGGCCAATAACTTATTTTGCTTATAGTCCCCATCATAATGTTTCAGTGACTGTGGACCATGTATATCATATATAATAATGAGCTAATATGCATAATTGCTGTCACACCTTAACGGTTCAGACACTCAACACTGGGGAGAGAGGTATGGGGACCAGCCAGGCACAAATGAGCTCGCGAGAGAGGAATGGGGACCAGCCTGGCTGCGGTCCAGGAGAGGGACAAGCCACCCGCCCTGCGGTCCCCACGGTCCCGGGTGCCCGCAGCTGCCCCTGTGGCCCAGGAGAGGGACAAGCCGCCCACCCCGCGGTCCTAGGCGCCAGCAACTATGCCTACGCCTGCGGCCCAGTAGAGGGACAAGCTGCCCGTCACATGGTCCCGGGTGCCTGTGGCTGCGGCCCACCCACAGTCCCCTGCACCTGTGGCTGGCCTGGGCAAAGCCGGCCTGGGTCCTAGGTGCCTGCAGCTGGCCAGAGGGAGGGAAGCCCAGGTCTCGGGTGCCTGCAACTACCAGGAGGAGGGAATCCTGGGTCCTGGATGTGGGGCGAGGCAGAGGTGGTTAGGGGCAATCAGGCAGGCAGGCAAGCAGTTAGGAGCCAGTGGTCATGGATTTAGAGAGGCAGTCAGACATGCCCTGAGGGGTCCTGGATTGGAGAGGGTGCAGGCCGGGCTGAGGGACACCCCCTCACCCTGTGCACAAATTTCACGCACCAGGCCTCTAGTATTTAATACTTTGATTTGCAACGTAAGAAGTGCGGCAGATATAATGCTATGTGTTCACCAATCCTGTTTCCTTTTGCTAATCTGGGCAGTCAGGAAGACTATATTTCCTAATCTCCTCTGCAGTTGGGTTGGGATCATGTGACTGGGGTTTGGGTCAAATGGATGTGAGTAGAAATAATGTAAGCTACCACCAAGCTCAGACCTTAAGACAGCCCTCCTGTCCTGTCTTCCTTTTCAGAAGCAACTGTGGTGGTCAGGTGTTGAGCTGGCAGAGCCACAGGATGAAAGCAGCTGGATCCCTGAGTCACCACATGGAGCAGAGCACTGGAGAGTAGCCCAACTCCACATATGGTAGGCTAATGAGATTTCAGGCATTACTTGTTACTGCAGCAAAGCCTGGTTTATTGATACAGGCATACTTTGCCGATACTACTGTGGGTTTGGTTTCAGACCACCACAATAAAGCGAGTTGTCACCTTTTTGCTGGTGGAAGGTCTTGCCTTCAATTTGAAAAATGCAAAATCTACGAAGTGCAATAAAGTGAAGAGCAATAAAACAAGGCATGCCTGTATATGAGAGGAAAGAGAACGTTCACAAATAATATAGGAAATAATGTAAGATGTAATATCTTATAAGTCAGGGAGTACTGTAGAAGATGAGTGGGTAGGAACCAAGTTTGGCCTTGTGTGCCGGGGGAGATTTTTGGAGACGAGGGGAAGAGAGGACGAGTAGAAATTGAATTGGCTGTATAAACTCAGTAAGGTGGAAATGAGCAGGAAACAGAGAATGGAGACAGCCTTGATGTTAGAAAGTGAACACTAGGTGGGGCCTGGAAAAATGAGGTTCCAAAACCTTTTAGGTGGAACATGCTACTAAAATCGTGGGGTTTCCTCAAGTCAAACAGTGTGAAACCCAACAGATAACCATTCAACGGCTAACATTTGCTGGGTGCTTAGCATGTTTTGAGTTGTGCTCTGAGTGTTGCATCATTGAATCTTCACAGAAATCCTGTGAATTGTGTAATCCTCATTTTAAAGATGAAGAGACTAAGGTTTATAGAGGTTAAACATCTTGCCCAGTATTAGCCCGGGTCCTCCAGAGAAACAGAACCAATGGGTTATATGTGTGTGTATTTACATATACATTACACATACAAATACACAGAGAGATAGGTGGGGGGAGGGGCTGATTTACTTTAAGGAATTAGCTCATGCAGTTGTGGAGGCTGGCTAATACAAAATCTGATGGGGTAGGCTGGCAGGCTGAAGACTCAGGGAAGAGTTGCAGTTTGAGCCCAAAGGCAATCTGCTGGCAGAATTCCTTCTTGTTCAGAGGTCTGTCTTTGTTCTATTCATGCCTTCAACTGCCTGGGTGAGCAACCCTCCCACCCTCCTACCCCACATGCATACACTATGGAGGACAACCTGCTTTACTCATTAAAATGTTTTAATTCCAAATAAAAGCATCCCTGTACAAACACCCAGAAAAAATTTGAACAAGTATATGAGCACTCTGTAGCCCAGTAAGGTTGACACATAAAATTAACCATCACAATGATTTAAAACACATCAGGTTATTCACGATGAATTTTATAAGGATACTGACAACAAGGATGCATTTAGTAATCCAGAGAGCAAATAGTAGACAAATATTTTTTAAAGTTCACTATACTTACAATAACAGGGCTTTAAAATAAATGTTTACAAACATGCTGGTTTCTAGTCTATATTATTTAATATTATTCTTCATATTAATAAAGTCCAGATATCAGCTGGGGCCTTACTCCGCCCCCTTGAGGTCTAGGCAAAAATGTATCAAAACCTCCTGGTACCCAGCCTGCAGAAGTTGAAAGCCTGGTTCATTCAATATTCCTGTTTATTTCCAATGCTTGTAAACTCTCCTGGCCTCTTCTGCTTCTTGAGTTCTGCTATGTTGCCCAACCCTGTGGTTCTAGACTACAGTGACCCAAACATGAGACATGCTCTTTTCCGATTTCTACAACAACAACAAAAAAACCCACACCAAAACTGAGTCTGGTAGAATTTACTGGAAACATTGGGTTGGGGAAGGTGTCACAACATTTAGCCTTTATCAATCCTGCCACCTTTCAATTTTCCTTTTCTTTCTACCTTTCACCCTCCCCTTTTCTGAGTGCCCCAAATTCCAATTTTTTTAAACCTTTTTTATGCAAAACAATTTTAGCACCCATCTCCACAGACTTTGTTACTGTTTTTTTGTTTGTTTTTACTTTTTCCTTTGCAAGGGATAGAAATTTAGCTCAAAATAGCTAAGGGCAAAAGGACAATTTATTGGCTCATGGAGTTAATAATTGGACAGGTTTGTAGGAAGAGGGACTTAGCTGTACTCAGAAACCACTGAACCAGGGATTTAAATCTGCTTCTCTAATTACAGCCTGGCAACAATTCCATTCTTTTTGTTTTGTTTTTTTTAATATATTTTTATTGATTCAGAGAGGGAGAGTGAGAGAAACATCAATGATGAGAGAGAATCATTGATTGGCTGCCTCCTGCACGCCCCCTACTGGGGATCGAGCCTGAAAACAGGCATATGCCCTTGACCGGAATCGCACCTGGGACCGTTAGGTCCGCAGGCCGACGCTTTATCCACTGAGCCACACCAGCTAGGGCCAAATCCATTCTTATCTTTCAGCTTTCAACTACTTGGGAGGGGCTTCCTTAACTTCCTTACCGTTTTGAAATTCAAAAGGCTGGGCAAAGACTTCATGGCCCAATGTGTCCAGCTGTCCATCCCTGTACCCAGTGTCTATGGTGTGTCTGCTCCTATAAAAACACAGCACCTCCCAGGGAGACCAAATACTTGATGAGCAGGGGCTGTTTCCAGGAGAAATGAGGGAGTTCACCGTAGACATAATACTCTGCAACAGTTTTCGCTGTCCTTTAGTAAAACATGGGCTAACCATTTCTCTAATTTCCATACCAGCAGTTTGAACAGAGTGGCATTAGAGCACAGAGGAGGGGGCGATGACTACTGCATGCCAGGTAGCAGGAGAAATACTTCCACAGGGGCCTCTTGAGGTGAGCCTGTAGGATTGAATGTGATTTGTCATCAGGCCAAGAGGGGATTCCAGGGAGACAGACTTCCAGGCTTGAGCAAATGGATAGGAATATGTCCTCTTCCAGACCTCCCTCTTTACAGCCTGAAAAAAACGTACTGGAAGCCATCAGAAAACAAAGGATAAAAATATACTGTTAGTGCAAGGACAGGATCAAATGATCTTGACGTGGACCGAACCACAGCCGTGCGAATAAGCCAGTGACTTAACCCCGGTACATCTTGATTTTCTCATCTGTTACATGGAGACGATAACTGCCCCCCTCAGAGGGCTCAAGTAACCATTACATGAGATAATCCCTTCGCCTATGCTTGTACGTTGTAAGCGCTCAAATAAATGCTGGCGATTGACATCAGCAATTATTTTATACTCAAAAATGCAGCCGGAAGGTTGAATTAGATGCTAAATGCCCGCTAGATTCCATCTAATACCTAAAGTGAGTTACATACACTACCCATCGTTAGTGCAAAATACTTAAAAAACACTCTTTTAGTAAACTTCATAACTTAAAGTAATATGCTTTTAGTTTTGTATTCCACCTCCTTTATAAAGTTCCCCTTGATTTATCACTTTTTGAGGTTAGGTACGTACAAAACCAGGAAGTACACTTAACGATGCTTTGACTCTACTCCGAGCTGAGATGGTACCCAAACCTGCAAGGAAGCGCTTCCCAGAGGCCTTCGCAGCGCGCAGCTGACCACCCAGGGGAGCCCTAGGGCTGCGGAGGAGAGATGCTGGGGGAGCCGCGGCGATGGCGTGCTCGACCTCGGGCGCCGGGGATGGCGCCGCCAAGAGCGAGCGCGCCAAGCGAGGCCGGCGCGGTTCTCACCACCCGCTCCGCCTCCGAACCCGCTTCGGACAAGCAGCGAGCCGCCTCGACAGCTCCCGGGCAGGTCAGGAGCCTCCTCACCGGCTCGAACCGTCTTCCCGGCTTCCTCCGCGGCGCCCCGTGACATCACTTCCTGTCGCCGGTGAACACGTGGGCGGAAGTGCACGTGCCCGCGGCCGCCGCTCCTGTCTGTCTCAAGGGTTACGTTCGTCCACGGGCTGCGCCGCCGCCTCCAGCCAGGCGCCGTTATGGGAGTCCCGGCGTTCTTCCGCTGGCTCAGCCGCAAATACCCGTCCATCATCGTCAACTGCGTAGAAGAGAAGGTGAGGGGGGCCCGGCGACCGCCGCGGAAAACCGAGAGCCCTGGCGCGCCTAGGCCGCGGCCGTCGGGCCAGTCCCTGCCCCCGGGGTCCGCGCCGCCTCGTCTGCCCCGCGGGCAGTGGCGGCCCCACACGCGGTGGGGCACCGGCACTCGCCGTGGGGGTTCCCGGCGAGCGGCCCGGACTGGGCGAGGGGCCGAGCGTGGCCTGCACCCGCCGGCGAGCGGCTCGTCCCTTGCCCGCTTTTTCCGGGACCGGAAGGCCCCGCCCACGGCTTTGTTTCCTCCCGGCCCCGCGCTGTTTGGGTTTCGGAAGTGGCTCCGAGGCCGCTGGGCCACGTCGGGCCGGTCCGCTGAAGTTAGTTAGGGATGTGCTGGCTGATCCCAGCTTTTAACTACCGTGTAAAGTAGTCGCCGCCGGCGAGCTTTTTGTTGTTTCTTGGCGGAGCCTGAAACGTGTTCTAGTGTGAGCGACCATTTGTCGATCCTGCTGTAAAAGCAGCACCTGAGAGCGTCTAGGGCAGCGGTTCTCAACCTTCTGGCCCTTTAAATACAGTTCTTCATGTTGTGACCCAACCATAACATTTTCGTTTATGCTACTTCATAACTGTAATGTTGCTACTGTTATGAATCGTAATGTAAAATATCTGATATGCAGGATGGTCTTAGGCGACCCCTGTGAAAGGGTCGTTCCACCGCCAAAGGGGTCGCGACCCACAGGTTGAGAACCGCTGGCCTAGGGCAAGGTAGGAGGGTCCCTTCCTCTAGGTGCCCCGCCTGCTGGACAGCATGCTCGTGGACATTGCCATAATTCCTGAGAACACTTGAACGTTACACTTTTATTGCTAGTTAATGTGTGTGCGTAGACTTTTGTCTATTCTTGAGTTTTGTATTTCTTGTTATCGTGGTTTCGTCTGAGTTCGATTTTGTACTCTTAATTAGCATTTGTGGATTGGGAAGGATGGGGTGGGGGGGCATATCATGTCCCCTACCCCTTCGTTTTTTGAGGGACGTGGCCGTCTGTCACTGTGACCTGATCCCCCCCCCCCCCCCCCCCCCCCCCCTTAGGTTGGTGAGGTCTTGATTTTTGTTCAGCTCCTAACCAAGGAGGAACCGGAAGCCTTGTTTTGATGGCATTCTCAGTATTCCTTGAGTTTTTCTCAAAAAGAAACTGTTCAACTCAGTGCCTGCTTCCTTTGTTTTAAAACTTAACGAACTTCATTAACTTTAAGTTATCGAATTTTTACTCTCCAGTGATAACCACTTTTAAGTGTTTTGATTTTATTTCTAAATACTGTATCATGCTTATACCTGATGTATTGGTTTTGAACCTATCTTGAATTCTAGCTATGATCAAAGACGTTTGGTCACTTATGCAGCCCCCCTTCCTCCACCCCAACCCTCCTAATAATAGACATTTTTTAAAAAATCTGTATTTTATTGATTTTTTACAGAGAGGAAGGGAGAGGGATAGAGAGTCAGAAACATCGATGAGAGAGAAACATCTATCAGCTAGCTGCCTTCTGCACACTCCCCACTGGGGATGTGCCTGCAACAAAGGTACATGCCCTTGACCGGAATCAAACTTGGGACCCTTGAGTCGCAGGCAGACGCTCTATCCACTGAGCCAAACCGCCTAGGGCATAAAAGACATTTTTATTCATATTATTGGTAAACTTTATAACTTTTAAGTAATATGCTTTTATTTTTTTATTCTACCTCCTATATAAAATAACCCTTGATTTTTTTCACTTTTTGAGGTTAGGTATTACTTTTTCTAGCCCTGTCACCCGTACTAGTCATCCAAAGCTTGCTAGCTGTACTGCTGCCCTGTTGGCATCCAATATTAAATTGCCAGGGCTTTGGCTACATAGGCTTGTTTTAAACGACGAAAAATGAAAAATAGTATTGTTGATTACTGTCATTGTGCAAATTCAGCTTATGTACTGTGATTCTGTTTCTTTCCTTGAGCTACTTTTGTCTTTTTCTTGGTATTGCCGTTCTCTTTTCTTCTTGACATGTATCCCCCTCAAAACTGTATTTTATCAGATAGTCTCTCAAATCCTCTTTCTTCTTAGAGACTTCTTCTTGAGGTCTTTATTTCTGTCATACTTGGTTATTTAGACTTCCTGGAAAGTTGCTTCTTCCTTTCCTCAGTTGGAGTTACTGTTTTCTGATCATCATTTTTCCAGGCTTAAATTCGACTTTGTTTTTTATTCTCAGTTGAATCTTCAAGAAAATCTGTGTGGGATGTGACTTTTCTGAATCCATTCTACCCTTGTACACACAAATGATCATTAGCTTGGCATAGAGTTTGACTGAAAATTAGTTTCCCTCAAAACTTTGAAAGCATTTTTCTTTGAACTGTTGTCACCCAGTATTGTTAATGAGAAGTTTATGTTAATTTGGTTTATTTATTTAACACTACTTATGTAATGTTTACCACTTACCAGGCACTGTTCTAGGCACTTTACAAGTTAATTAATTTGACTACATGACTACTACTTTGTAATAATAATAATGAGAAACAAACACGGAGGGGTTACATAATATGCTCTAGCTCACTTGTCTAATACATGTCTGAGCCATTGTCAAAACCAGGAAGAACATGCTTTTAATTTCTATGTTCTGGTTTCATTCTTTTGTAGTTGATCTATTTTTCCTTTCTGAATTTTAAAAGATCTTTATTCTTGGTATTGTAAGTTTTCATGATTTTGTGCTTAAATGTAGATTTTTTTATTACTGTTAGTTCTTGGTTGACTCTCTTGAATTTAGAGACTTATGTTCTTCAGTTCTAGGAAATACTCTTTTTAAAAAAAATTGATTTCAGAGGGGAAGGGAGATAGAGATAGATAGAAACATCAATGATGAAAGAGAATCATTGATCTGCTGCCTTCTACATGCCCCACCCCTGGGGATCGTGTCCACAACTGGGCATGTGCCCCTGCTGGGAATCGAACCTCGACCTTCTGGTTCATAGATGGGTGCTCAACCACTGAACCACAACAGGCTGGGTTGGAATACTCTTTATTATGTATACTAGAGGCCTGGTGCATGAAATTCGTGCACTCGGGGAGGGGGTCCCTCAGCCTGGCCTGCACCCTCGCGCAGTCTGGGAGTCCTCGGGGGATGTCCAGCTGATGTCTTAGGCCCGTTCCCACTAAACCAGCAGTTGAACATCCTTAGCGCAGCCGCAGATGTGGGATAGGCTCCTGCCACTGCGCTCGCCAGTCATGAGCCCAGCTTCTGGCTGAGCGCACTGACCACCAGGGGGCAGCTCCTTTGTTGAGCGTCTGCTCCCTGGTGGTCAGTGTGTGTTATACCGGCTGGTTGTTCTGCTGTTTGGTCAATTTGCATATTAGGGTTTTATTATTATATATAAAAATTTGTGCACTCAGGGGGAAGAGGGGGTCCCTCAGCCAGGCCTGTGCCCTCTCACAGTCTGGGACCCCTCGGGAGATAATGACCTGTTGGCTTAGGCCTGCTCTCAGGTGGCAGAGGGCAGGCCCAATCCCTAGGTGCAGCCCCTGGTCGGGCTCAGAGCAGGGCCGATTGGGGAGTTGGGGCACCACCCCTGGTCATGCACAGAGCAGGGCGGATCGGGAGGTTGCGATGCCACCTCAGTCACACTCAGGGTAGGGCCGATTGGGCTGTTGGGGCACCGCCCCCGTCACACTCAAGGCAGGGTTGATGGGGAGGTTGCGGCACCACCCCCTGTCACGCACAGAGCAGGGCCAATCAGGGGGTTGGGGCACTGCCCCCTGTAACTCACAGAGCAGGGCCCATCAGGGGGGTTGAGGCTCCGTACCCTGTCACGCACAGAGCAGGGTCGAGCAGGGGGTTGGGGAGCTCCCCCCTATCATGCACAGAGCAGGGCCCATCAGGGGGTTGGGGAGCTCCCCCCTGTCACGCACAGAGCAGGGCTGATCAGGGGGTTGAGGAGCTCCCCCCGTCACTCACAGAGTAGGGCTGATAGGGGAGTTGGGGCACTGCCCCCTGTCACACACAGAGCAGGGCGGATCAGGGGGTTGGGGCGCCGCACCCTGTCACACTCAGGGCAGGGCTGATGGGAAGGTTATGGCTCTACCCCGTCACACACAGAGCAGGGCCTGTGGGGGTGGTTGGGGCGCCGCCCTCTATCATCCACAGAGCAGGGCCGATCAGGGGTTTGGGGTGCCGCCACTGTCACACTCAGGGCAGGGCCGATGGGGAGGTTATGGCTCTACCCCGTCACACACAGAGTAGGGCCGATCAGGGGTTTGGGGCGCCGCACCCTGCCACACACAGAGCCGCAGGGCGATCGGGGTTGGGGAGCTCCCCCCTATCAGGCACAGAGCAGGGCTGATCAGGGGGTTGGGGCGCCTTCCCCTGTCACGAACAGAGCAGGGCCGATAGGGAGGTTGTGGCCCCGCCCCCTGTCGCACACAGAGCCGCAGGGCGATCAGGGGGTTTGGGCGCTGCCCCTGTCACGCTGATCCCGGTGCCGGGAAGCCTCTCAGCTCCGCTGATCCCGGTGCTGGGAGGCTTACTACCCTTTTACTATATAGGATAGAGGCCTGGTGCATGGGTGGGGGCCGGCTGGTTTGCCCTGAAGGGTGTCCTGGATCAGGGTGAGGGTCCCGCTTGGGTGCCTGGCCAGCCTGGATGAGGGGATGATGGCTGTTTGCAGCTGGTCACACCCCCTTCAGGGTGGGGGTCACCACTGGGGTGCCTGGCCAGTCTGGGTGAGGGGCTGAGGGCTGTT